GCCCGAGGGGGCAGCCGGACACGGGAGGACAGTGGAGAAGTGAGCGAGGACAGGACCCCCAGAGGGGTCAGCCAGGGAGACAGCAACCGGCCGACCAAGCGGCGTGAGTGTGGTGCGGTCCCGAAAGAAGGAGCGAGAAGCCCCAGAGTCAAGTGTAAAGGTGAGGGAGGCCGAAGCCAACGCGGTACCTGAGAGCGCAGCCTCACCCGCACCTGAGGAAGCAGACTCACTAGCACCTAGAGCAGCAGCCGCACCTGTACCTGGAGCAGGAGACTCACTAGCACCCAGAGCAGCAGCCTCACCAGTAGCTAGAGCAGCAGGTCCTATACCTGGGTCAGGCGGGACGCACAGGTGACCGGCATGGTCAGCACTAGTAGGCAATGCATACATGGCAGTGAGAATAGCATCATAGTCAAGAGCATATATATCTACCCTCTGCCTAAGCAACTCCACCCAGTCGGGAAGCTCAGCCTCGTCGCCAAACACGGTACGCCAGGCGTCGCTCAGACGGGCGAAGCAGCGGGACTGTGTATGACTACGTGTCCCACAAGGCTGACCAGTCCGAGTACCAGTGCGAATCACGTAAGAGCAGCGAACAGCACTGAGAGACCCTCCACTCTGAGCGTACCACTCACGAAGCTGGCGAGGCGTGAGAGACACGCGAGAGGGTCGCGGGAGCTGCATCTGGCCGCCACCACGAGTAGAAGCAGCAGGAGTGGAAGTAGGAGTAGCGTCGCCACCCCTACAGCCCCAACCAGCGTACCACTCACGCAGCTGCTGGGGCGTGAGGGACTCACGCAGGCGTCGCTGGGGCTGCATCTGGCTCCGCAAGTAGAAGCAGGAGCAGGACTAGCAGCAGGAAGGCAGGCAGCCAGGCAAGCCAAAAGGCAAGCAGGCAGGCAAGCAGGCGACGCGCAGCGTGCTAGCAGGGCAAGAGCTCACCAGTGGTGGGAAGAGTAGGCTCGGCGACTCAGCGGCTCGGCAGCTCGGCGGCTCGGCGGCTCGGGCGACTCGGGCGGCTCGGCGGCAAGGCGGCTCGGCAGCAACTGCAGCTCAGCAGCTCGGTGACTCGGCGGCTCGGCGGCAGGGCGGCTCGGCAGCAACTGCAGCTCAGCAGCTCAGCGACCCGGTGGCTCGGCGGCAGGGCGGCTTGGCGGTGGGGCGGCTCGGCTGCTGCAGGTGAGCGATGAAGGAGGAGGAGAAGCAGAGGAGGCCACACACCTGCCACCCGCAAGCGGCCCCCTCAGGTCGCCTCGACAGGCGACGGGAAAAGGGGGGGGTGGGTGGTGGGGGCCGGTAGGTGCAGCGGCGGGGCCAGCAGGTGCAGTTGCGGGGCCGGTAGAAGGGGACGGCAGCCTGGGCGGTCGTGGGCGGCTCACGCTGGGCGGGTGCACGGGCGGCTCGGCGGGCGGCGTACAGGCAGCTTACGGGCGGCTGCGACGGGCGGCTCGCGGGCGTCGGGTGCTAGGGCGCTGGGGCGACGACGGGCGGCGCTCAGGCGTCAGAGCGGGCGGCCGTCAGGGCGCTAGGGCGGGCGGCGCTCAGGCGTCAGGGCGGGCGGCCGTCAGGGCGCAAGGGCGGGCGGCGCTCGGGCGCTAGGGCGAGCGGCGCACGGGCGCTAGGGCGGGCGGCCGTCAGTGCGCTAGGGCGGGCTGCGCTCGGGCGCTAGGGCGGGCGGCGCTCGGGTGCTAGGGCGGGCGGCCGACAGGGCGCTAGGGAGGGCGGCCGTCAGGGCGCTAGGGCGAGCGGCGCACGGGCGCTAGGGCGGGCGGCCGTCAGGGCGCTAGGGCGGGCGGCGCTCGGGCGCTAGGGCGGGCGGCGCTCGGGCGCTAGGGCGGGCGGCCGTCAGGGCGCTAGGTCGGGCGGCGCTCGGGCGCTAAGGCGGGCGGCGCTCGGGCGCTAGGGCGGGCGGCCGTCAGGGCGCTAGGGCGGGCGGCCGTCAGGGCGCTAGGGCGGGCGGCGTTCGGGCGCTAGAGCGGGCGGCCGTCAGGGCACTAGGGCGGGCGGCCGTCAGGGCGCAAGGGCGGCGGCGCTCGGGCGCTAGGGCGGGCGGCCTTCAGAGCACTAGGGCAGATCGAAAAAAAAGAGGTACTAGGGCCCGGAGCGCGCTCCGGGCAGGAAAAAAAAAGGTTAAGAGGTAGCGGTGGTGGGCCCTACGAACAGTTCCCACAGGGGAACCTGCTCGATACCATGTGAGAATAAGCGAACAGGAATGAATGAACTAGCAGTGAAATGAGTACAAGTAGGAAACCCTAGAATTGTGTACCCCCTATAGGCTAACCCACTGTAGCCTACACAAGCATAACATATATAATGTTTGACACCTCCCATTGTGGGGGGGTGTCAGTAGATCTGCACTGTGGATGCCCGATTGATCCTGGAGAGGGTTACAGGTGCGTTCGCCTGGGGGGGTTATGGGCGCACTGACCCGCTACTGAAACAAGCCCTTATATCCCAATGGTCTAGTGGTTGGGATTCTGACACGGCGTCCGAGGGTGTGCACGCCAGAGAAATATCCCTTGTATTCTACTACTTAGGTTCTGGGTGGACCTTGTGTGTGCGGGCCCAAGCTTGAGCTGGGCAGGGGAGTGTCGAGGTGAAAGGCCCCGCTCTCGCTTGGGCACATGCATTCTCTGCGACGACGTGGTGAATTCGACGAAGTGAGCGTCGCATTGGATCAGCCCGTCCTCTGAAACCGCGGTGGGTTCTCGAGGAGGTGGTCCTCTGATTCACCCGCCCATCGACGAGCTCTGGTCGACGGGGTGCTGTTCGACGAGCTCGTCCTTTGATCTGCTAGTGAGTCGCGCGATCTCTGACCGACGGTGTGCAGTTCGAAGAGCCTCCTTCTCTTATCGAAGGCGCCTTCGGCAAACCTCGTCTCGGCGAACTGGTTGGCCGAATTCGCGCGACTGCGGAACTCTGCGAAGGCAGGCGGAATTCGCTCAGGTGGTTCTTAGCGGAATTTCACCTGCGGAATGGCATCACGTGTTCGACGGTGGACATCTAACGAAACCGTCGGAACGTTTTCTACATGGCACCTGCACAATGTCTCTGACGGTACAACCGTCTACCTGCACCTACTCGGCAGGTGCACACATGCGCAGATATTCACCTTCGAATGCAGCGCTGGCAGGCCGCCCTGCTGCAGCGCTGGCATGTCGCCCTTTTGCTACGCTGGGAGGCCGCCCTGCTGCAGCATCGGCGAATCACTCTGATGCAGTGCTGGCAATTCGCCTTGCAGAATTATTGCTAGGGGTTCCAATGCCATTCTAGACATATCACTTGCATGCCTCATTTTTGTACTTTAATTCTCAATTTCTCGATGTTCTTTTCAATCCCTTAGTGAAAACTCTGGCCAAATTTCTCTATGACAACAAGTTGTAAGAACTCTGTTTAGAGCGTTACGATCACCCGCACAACCCCGTGCCCTCCTCCGTAGTCCATTCCCGTTGTAGGGTGACTCTCCGCATTATCATGTCCACTACAGTTCCTCAGTTACATCATCACCTACCGTATTATATGATAAAACTCCGAAGAGGTTATAGAAGTTTTCAAAAATATAACACCTACCGTCACCCCCCGGATATAAGCGCCACCCTAGGATAAGCGCCTGGCGCTTCTAATTGGCATATGGCGCTTATATCCCCTCCTCGATTATAAGCGCACCCCCTGAAAAAACAAGTTTTATTATAAGCGCACGTAAACTTTAATATTTGAAATGTGTACAAAACGTTGTAACGATTTTTACTTTAGCAGGCAGATATGTTGCAGATTCGGTTCCCTTCACATTCGGACCCTGCACTGGATGCGGGTCCAGTCAGCAAGAGCTGTCAGGAGCTGGATGTGAGTCAGATTGGGTGTGTCTCCCAGCGTACGCGAGAATTTCACAGACGACCCCATGTAACTTCGACTCGATTGAAAGGGCAAGCACGAGACCTACAGTTTGGTGTTTAAAAATATAAAAAAATATAGATGTCATTTTATAAACGCCGGCGCTTATAAATTTACTCGATTATAAGCCCACCCCCCTGAAAAAACCTGTTTTATTATTGCCCCCCATGGGGGTATATCCGGGGGGTGACGGTACGCTAGCCAGAAGAAAGATTTGGGTAAATATTTGGCTACTATCCAAACATATCTATTCCCCAAGTGGTGACGTTTATATCTGGAATTGGAAAAGATTTATGTGTAAGTCAAGAATTGATTGCAATTGGGTTAGTTTTTTCACAAGATTTTGATATGTAAATAACGTGCATGGTGTAGCTTAGTATTCAACAAAACCTTAATATTCGGGTTTAATGATGTGTGATTATTGACAGAAGTGTGTTCTTCTGGTTTGGATTTGTCGATGGTGGCGACGGATGCCTTTAGTCGACGTATCGACGGTTCTCCGGGTTCACCGCAACCAGCAGTTTCCGCCGAACAGAAACATGCCCTAGGAGCATGTGTGAACCGTCGATCCATCTCAAATTTTCTCTCAACTGTCAAATCTTGACCATCAAAACCTTTATAGCCTTACCCCCAGACGAGCCCCTTTCATCTCTATTCTCCACCCCCTCTACAGTATCACCTTCTCTATCCCGTATATGTGTGTTGGTTTCCTTTCTGAGCATTTTTCGTTCACGTTCATTTCTCCTGTCCGCCATTGAATATTTGATTCGAAGATGCCAATTCTTTTATTAGTAGTATCCACCCCGCCACGGAATCAACGACGGTCTCGTCGATCGGCGATGTGGCAGGCGTAACGGCGCTGGTTGTCGCGCTGCTGGTAACGTCGCGTCCCCATGCCATCACGAGTATCGTCGAAACCTTTTAGGGTTCGAGCTGCCATCAAGATGTACTTGCGAACCGCAGGAGAGCGAAGTCGTATTTCTTGCCAGTTTATTGGTTTTCCTACCTTCTCTGTTTAGTATAGCTAGTATTCCAGCATCCCCAGACTCGGATAGACTAGGATTTCAACAACCCACACCTTCGCATAGGCGTTTCTTTCGTCGTATTAGATGGGGTTGGAGACGCCACAAGAGCTGGAGCACGCGGGAAGTAGGGAAGCGTCAGGGCACCCCGCATTAGGCGCGGGACCGAGCGCGAACCAGTCAGGGGGAGAGGCGCCGCACCCGGCGAATGCGGAGGCGAAAGCGGAGATGGACGCGGATGAAGCAGCGCGGGAGAAGCAGCGGAGAAAGCAGAGCTCGACGGGGCAGGTGATGGAGGTGCCGCCCATGGACGAGTACTTGTGCCCCATCTCGGGCGACGTTATGGAGGAGCCCGTTACGATCGCGTCGGGACACACCTTCGACCTCAAGTCCATTCAAAGGTTCTTCGACGGTGAGCGCCGCGCGAGAACGCGAGTGCGCGAGTGCACGCGAGCGGAGGGTCATCCGTGGAGCTGAGGACGGTTCTCGGGAGGGTTAGGTGGCTGTTACGAACCTATGAGTGGAAATGCGAGGGCGAGAGAAGGGCTTGGGGAAGCGGAAGCAGGGACGAGGCCTGCTACAGGCCACATTGCCGTGCACGGCTGGCCGGCTTCGGTGCAACGCTTCGCTTGCGATAGCTGGCTAGCAATCTGTTGCGGGAGGGCTTGAGCACTGGAGCGTCTGTTCTAGGGCTCCTATATCGCCACCGTAACGACGACGACCATACCGGCCACACCACTTCATCAAGTTACAGCATCCTAAAACTGCCTCTTGCTGCCCAGCCTCTCTTTCCCACCCCGTTCCACCCCTCTGCATCCCTCCCTTCCCCTCTCCACCCCTCTTCCGCGCAACGCGCGCAGAGGGCAACAAGCACTGCCCCGTAACGCAGGAGGCGCTGGATAACCTCGAGATGACGCGCAACGAGGACATGGCGCGATCCATCGACGAGTGGCGCGCGCGCAACACGGTGATGCGCATCCAGGCGGCGCGGCCGAAGCTGCAGTCCGCCAAGGAGGAGGAGGTGGAGGGCGGGCTGCTGGAGCTGTTTCAGCTGTGCGAGGAGCGCGCCACGAACCGGTATTGGGTGGCGGCGGAGGGGCTCATCCCCGTCGTCGTCAACCTCCTCAAGTCCACCTCTCGCAACCTCCGCCGGAAAACGCTCGCCACGCTCGCCAACCTCGCCAACGGGAATGACGAGAACAAGGTGCGGGGGATTGTGGTGTACGGGTGCATGTGTTGGAGAAGCGGGACAGAGAGTAGGACGTTGGGGGTTGGGCTTCCGCCAATCCCTGTCCGCCACAGCCTCTTCCCCATACCGTCTCCGCTGGAGGTCGTAGCTCGCCCAGGCGCCATTCAGCTTCTAGAGCGCACTCTTAGAGCCTCCTCGCACTCTTAGGGGCTCCTCCAACGCAAAACCTATCCCTTCCCACATCCCCCGCACGACCTTGCCACTCGCTACCCACTCCGTTTCCCTCCCCCCATTTCCCCCCTTTCCCTCCCACGCGTCCCCACCACTCCCCCCCACGCATCCCTCTACATCCCTCCGCGCGTCCGCTGCGCAGGAGCTGGTGGTGGATGCAGGCGCCATTCAGCTCGCCGTGCGCTCGCTGTCGCGTGACGTGGGCGAGAGCCGGCAGGCCGTGGCGCTGCTGCTGGAGCTGTCCAAGAGCCCCAAGGTGTGCGAGGAGATAGGGCGCGCGCAGGGCTCCATCCTGCTGCTCGTCACCATGCTCAACAACGAGAACGCCAACGCCGCCAAGGACGCCGCCGCCGTGCTGCAGCAGCTGGCCAGCAACGACCAGAACGTCGTGCAGATGGCCGAGGCCAACCACTTCAAGCCACTCGCTGACCGCCTCACCACAGGTGGGCTCTGCTGCCTTGCTGCCTTGCTGCCTTGCTGCTGCTGCTGCTGCTGCTGCTGCTGCTGCTGCTGGGGTGTTGGTAGAAGGGTGTGCTGTTACGGGATTGATCTTGCTCTTTTGCGCGGTGACTACAAGTCCAGTCCGAACGCTGAGTCGTGCCCACTGTTGCCGTGTTTCCACATGGCCTTTCCACAGAATAGAATACTTTCCACCAACCCATCCTCCCGTCCCGTCTCCTCCCCTCCTCCCTTCTCCTTCCCGACCTCCCCTCTCCCTCTCTCTCTCTCTCTCTCTCTCTCTCTCTCTCTCTCTCTCTCTCTCTCTCTCTCTCTCTCTCATTCTCTCCCCTCTCCATTCCGGTCCCACCTCTCTCTCCTCTCCCTTCCTCCACCTCTCACCTGCTTGCCACCCCCTCCCCTCTCCCGCCCCCCTCCCTCCCCCTGTGCTCGGACAGGTCCCTCTGGATTGGAATGGCTCTTCACAACTGTCAGAGGGAGTCCCCCTCACGGACCAGGGCAAGGCCGTGCCGCTGCACCACAGCTCACTCCCCACCATCTACACGTCTCTTTCTCTTTCACCCTCCACCTTCGCCCCCTCCCTTCCACCTCGCCCCCTCCCCACGCCCACCCTCGTCCCCCGTCCTCCCTCCCGCCAGGCCCACATGACAAGGAGTGTGGTGGCGACGGCGCACTCTCCTTTGCGCCCCGCTACCTCGTACTTACTATCGACTCCCACGTCCCTTCCTTGCCCTACCCCGCGCCGTGCAGGATCGGACATGACGCGGATCGTGATGGCGAGCGCACTATCGCGCATGTCCTTGACGGACCAGAGCAAGGCAGTGCTGGTGCAGCAGGGCGCCATCCCGCCGCTCGTCACCATGATCGCCGCGGGCAAGCTCGAGGCCAAGGCAGCGGCCCTGGGCGCGCTGCAGAACCTCTCGTCGCTGGCGGCCAACCGCAACGAGCTCATCCGCGCGGGCGTGGTGCCGCCGCTGCTGACGCTGCTCTTCTCCGTGACGTCCGTGGTGATGAGCCTCAAGGAGGGCGCCGCCGCCATCCTCGCCAACATCTCCCTGGCGGCGGGCGCGCAGGCGGAGACGAGGATCGACGGCAACGGGGCGATTCTGGAGTCGGAGGAGACCATCTTCCAGCTGCTCTCGCTCATGAACCTCGCTGGCCCCAACATCCAGGTGCGCTGCCGTGGCATGACCTCCACACCTGTTAGAAGTTTGTTGGGCTTTTATGTTATCACCACACACACACCACACACACACCACACACACACCACACACACACCACACACACACACCACACACACACCACACACACACCACACACACACACCACACACACACACCACACACCACACACACACACCACACACACACCACACACACACCACACACACACCACACACACACCACACACACACCACACACACACCACACACACACCACACACACACCACACACACACCACACACACACCACACACACACCACACACACACACCACACACACACCACACACACACACACACACACCACACACACACCACACACACACCACACACACACCACACACACCACACACACACACCACACACACACCACACACACACCACACACACACCACACACACACCACACACACACCACACACACACCACACACACACCACACACACACCACACACACACCACACACACACCACACACACACCACACACACACCACACACACACCACACACACACCACACACACACCACACACACACACACCACACACACACCACACACACCACACACACACCACACACACACCACACACACACCACACACACACCACACACACACCACACACACACACACCACACACACACCACACACACCACACACACACCACACACACACCACACACACACCACACACACACCACACACACACCACACACACACACACACCACACACACACCACACACACACCACACACACACCACACAGGGCCTTCATATGGTGCAGCAGCCTGGGGCATAGATAACCAGGGCGTATCCTTGTATCGCTTAGGAATGTTTCTTCATCTGTCTGCTCCTTCTGCCCTGTTGCTCACCCTTCTCCTTATACACCATGGCATCTGAGGGTGTGCGTGTTCATGTGTGTGTGTGTGTCTGTGTCTGTGTGTGTGTGTGTGTGTGTGTGTGTTTGTGTTTGTGTGTGTGTGGGTGTGTGTGAGTGTGTGTGCATGCGTGCATGTGCATGTGCATGCGTCTGTGTGTGTTTGTGTGTGCATGTGCATGTTTGTGTGTGCATGCGTGCATGTGCATGTGCATGTGCATGTGCATGTGCATGTGCATGTGCATGTGCATGTGCATGTGTCTGTGTGTGTTTGTGTGTGCATGTGCATGTGTGTGCATGTGTGTGTGCGTGCATGCACATGTGCTGGCAGGTGAATCTACTGAAGGCGCTGCTGGGCATGGCGTCGGTACCGCAGGCCATGGAAGTGCGCAACCGCATGATAGTGGGCGGAGCAGTCGACGTCCTCATCCCCTTCATTGACGGCTCTGAAGGGGTCTGTGCCTCCTCACCTGCTCCCCGCCCCCGCCCCCCACCCCGCTGCTGCTGCTGCTTCTTGTGGGGTTGGGTGCTGAGTGTCGTGTTCCGCTTGTTGTTTGCCGCTTGTTGTAGAATGGCCTGCATGGCTGCCGGCTCCGGCTCCTGCCACAAATGCCGCCACCCATCCCATCTCCCTCCCCCGGCTTCACCTCTCCCTCCCCTCTCACCTGCCATCCCTGCTCCTACCAAGCCGCCCCCCTCCCCCTCCATCCCGGCTTCCTGCGCCTGCCCGTCCCCTCCCCCCTCTCCTGTCTTTCTCAATCCCAAGGTTCAAAAATACGACCGTATTTTTGAAAATTTACCGTAAATTACGGTATCGTAATTTACGGTCGTAAATTACGGTAAAAAACGGTTTGACGTTGCAAAATTAGGTTGGTTCAAAAATACGGTCGTAAATTACGACCGAAAGTTTGAAACCGAGTTTGTGTATAGCGAATTTCAACATTTCCCAACCGTCAACCTGTTCGTGAGAATTTTTGTGGCCCCAAACCCACTCGAGAGTGTTTTTTTCCCGAGTCGCGAGTGTCAGCAAAATCTCGAGGCGCGACATTGTGCATTTTGGTGACAGTTTAACAGGTTTGTTGCCCATTCGCACACTCGTTTGTGTATTTCGCCGAATCGCAAATGTACAAATTTGTGCGACGCGGCAAATTGTACATTTGGCGAACGGATAACACAAGTCTACCCGTTTCGCCAAGTCGGTGGGTCGTTTCGCGGCCCGTTCGTTTTTTTCGCCCGCATGCGCTACTCAACTCAATTTCGACACTGCAAAACCATTCCAACCAATAGCGTTCGTCCAATCTTCATCCCTTCCATCTCATCCCTTTTGCATATTCCATTCGCCAACGCAACACCACCAAGTTAAACCAGGGCAAAAACCACCATTCTGTAGTGTAGTATGTTGTCGCCTTCCTTGTCATCGTTGTAAGCTTTCTAGGAATTTCTGTAAAAAAAATTCCGCAAAAAATGTCCATTTAAAAAACCACCGTATTTTTGCCAAAACCACCGTAAATTACGACCGTAATTTACGAGCCGTAATTTACGTTTACCGTGTTTTTGAACCTTGCTCAATCCTCTCCCGTCTCTCCCCCCACTCCTCCGCTGTCCCGTATGGTGCGTGCACCCATGGGCGTGCCACGCCCCTGCGCCGTGCTACCAGGGGCCAGCGACGCGGCCGTTGGCAGCGAGGGTGTTGAGGGAGCTGTCAAAGGAGGCGGAGGCGGGCAGGAGTGTGGCGGGCAGCCTCATGGAGAACCAGGCGGCGGCGCTCAAGGCCATCATCGCCATGCTGCACGACAAGGACTCGTTTGATAACCGCGCTGCTGCTGCCGGCCTCATCGCTGCGCTGCCACCCACTGACACCAAGCTCAACCAAGCTCTCGTGCAGGTGGGTGCTCTCGTGCAGGTGGGTGCGCGCGTGGGTAGGGGGGGGGAGGGGGCAATCTTTGAGCCGACTCAAACAACGACGCCTGAAAACCGCGCTGCTGCTGCTTGGCTTATCGGTGCGTTGCCGCCTCGTGACCCAAGCTGACGAGGCTCTTGTCCAGCTGGGCGGGTGGGCAGGTGCTGCTTATGTTCTGCCATGTATCTCCCGTGCAAGGAAGCATCGCCATGGCCTGCCTGGGCATGTCGTTGTCCACTTGTCGATTGGCGTAGCGCCCTCAAGCCATGCAAGGAACATGCATGGCCTGCCCTGCAAGTCCATCTTGCATCTCCTTCCGACCTTCCTTCTCTTCTCCCCCTGGCACTCCCTTCCTCCTCGCACGCGCTCCCCGGCAGGCGGATGTGGTGCAGACGCTGGTGACGATGCTGGGCATGAAGGGGGGCGGCGTGGGCACCAACGCGCAGCTCAAGGACGCGGCGCTGGAGGGCGCTGCTAATGCCCTTGTGCGCTTCACTCTCCCCTCCAAGTATGCCTCCCTCCCTGCCCCCTACATGCCCCCTCCGTGCACCATCCATGCACCATCCATGCCCCCTCCATGCACCATCCATGCACCATCCATGCACCATCCACCCTCCGTCCATGCACACTCCTTTATCTGTTGCCGCGTGTCACCATCCCGATCAGACTGCTTTCCCCCCATTTGACGTTCTGTCCAACCTCGCACTCCCCTTGGTCGTCTCATTTTCCTCTGATTATACTACCCACCTGGTTAAGCCGTCGTGGTTAAGCCCACCAGTCTCCCTGTTTCGCCCCTGCGTTGCTGGTTACCAGCAGGGTTACGAGCTGCGGGATGGCTCCTAGCTCTGCTAAAGCCCTTTTCCCCTTCCCCTTCCCCTTCCCCTTCTCCCCCTTCTCCCGTCCCCCTTTCCCTCGTTCCCCCCCCCCCCATCGAGCAGCATCAAGCAGCAGCAGCAGCTGGCGGAGCTAGGAGCCATCCCGCAGCTGGTAACCCTGCTGGTGACGGGCAACGCGGGGGCGAAGAGGGGAGCAGCGCTGTGCCTGGGCAACTTCTCCGAGTCCAGCCCCACGCTCTCCGTCTCTGTCAAGGCCAAGTCAGGCGGGTGCTGCTTCAAGGCGCCCGAGGAGCCCAAGTGTGTGGTGCACGGGGGCACGTGCTCCGTGCGCGCGTCCTTCTGCCTGCTGGAGGCGGAGGCCATCGACCCGCTCGTGGGCGCCATGGGCGAGAAGGACCCTCTCACGGCCGAGGCCGCTCTCACCGCGCTGTCGACGCTCATGGCGGACTCGTGCCGGTGGGAGGCCAGCGTCAAGATCATCCATGAGTCCGGTCAGCCTGCTGCTGGGTCGGGTCCAGTGCCTGGGGCTTGTTTCGGTGTTGAGAGGGGTGTGATGGGGTTGGATGGGGATGGGATGGGGTGGGATGGAGGGAGTGTGGATCAAGGCATTTGATTCTCTGGAGTGTTTCTATTGCTTTAATTCTGACATTTTGGCTGTCTATGGGGTAGAGCTGGATGGGCTGGGTCGCAGGGCATTGGTGTTGCGGGATCACACCCTGCCAGCATTGGTGTTGCGGGATCACACCCTGCCAGCATTGGTGTTGCGGGATCACATCCTGCCAGCATTGGTGTTGCGGGATCACACCCTGCCAGCATTGGTGTTGCGGGATCACACCCTGCCACCCCATCAAGTTCTTGTCTCCTATCCCCATCCCCATGCCGCCCCCATCCTTTGTCCCCATCCCCGTATTCGATCCCCACCCCTCCTGCCTGACGACTCCCTTCTCTCTGCCTCCCTGCCGCTTCTCCTCCGCGCTCCCTCCCTCCCTCTCTCTGCCCTGCCTGGCGGCCTCCCCTCTCTGTCTGCCTGTCTGTGCGTGTCTCTCTTGTGTGGACCAGGCGGGTTTGGGCGGGTGGTGCAGCAGCTGAGCGAGGGCACGGAGAGGGCGAAGGAGAAGGGGGTGTGGATGTTGGAGAAGCTGTTTCGCCTCGAGGAGTACAAGTTTGAGTACGCCACCAAGGCACAGGGCGCGCTCATTGAGATGACCCAACACGGGTCCAACGAGACCAAGCCCGTGGCTGCTAAGATCTTGAGCCATCTCGAGCTGCTGCACCAACAGTCTAGCTACTTCTGAGCGCCTTACGGGGTTTGGGCGGTTCATTAGGTTAGGTTCAGGTTCAGGTGGTGAGTGTGAGGGGTGTAGGTGTGTGCTTTGGGTGTGGTGGGTGTGGGAGGTAGTGTGGATGGTGGAGGGGTGTGGGTGGTGGTGGGTTGGGTGTGGGTGAGTGGCTTGGCATGGTACGATTTGTGGTGTGCCATTATGTTTACGGTATTTTTGCTGGGTTTGCTGCGTTCCTTGGCATTAGGCAGTCTGGCATTGCAGCAGGTGAAGAGTCAAAGTAGCCTACATGATTATCTGCCAGTGTTGGTGTTCAAGCTTACGGTATTTAGGGATTTGAGCACAGGAGACCTCGTGCACAGGAGACCTCGTGCACAGCACATCACACGCCCACGTATTGTGTAGATCTTGGATCAGAATAAAAATGAGATAGGGCCTGTAGGTTGTAGTGTAGCTGAGTACTGTTGTTTGATTGTACAATCAAGAAATGCCATTAGTACAAGGATTAGAGCTTCAATGATCAAGAAATGGCATCTCTCTCTTTCGAGCGATCCTAGAGCTTCATGTGAGCTCAATATGGTACGATACCTTGGTTTTTATTCAGGCTAAATACCTCCCTTGGAAAGGGCGGATTGGGAGACTGCAGAGCAGAGCATTGAGCCAGCAGGAAGCTAGACGAGCGCCGTATTCACTTAATCAGCACACATGCGCACGTGGATGGTAGTGCTCGCGGTGAGGGGTGGCCCTGCAGCTCAACTGGAGTGGTGCATGCACTCGTCTGTACGTGCCATAGTCGTCTCAATACTCGCCTACATGGGGAGCCCGAACGTTCGCTGCTCTACTGTCCCTCCTCTCACCACACGCCGTATTAGCTGTGAGTACACATGTGGCGATTGGCTGTAAGAGCAGCTGTGGTGACAGTCATTATCTGTACATGCCCGAACCACTGGGGGCCAAGCCCTGTTCAGGCAAGGCTGCTAAGGGTGGTTTGGCTTCAAGGCCAGTAACGGCAGCGGAAGCAAGAGTTTCAAACAGGCTGCGGAATTTCCTGCGGTGACTGCGCTGGTTGCTGCACACACGGCAAGGAGGGTAGGGAGAGGGCACGGAGAAGGCAGCGAAAGGGCAGGGAGTGGGGAGGGAAAGGGCAGGGAGATGGCAGGGGGAAAGTGCAGGGAGATGGCAGGGGGACGGCACAGCGAGGGCAGGGACGGGGCATTGTGGGCAGAGACGGGGCATTGAGGGCCAAAGACAAGTTAAAGTGAGTACAGGCATGTGTGTCTGCGCGTGTGCAAAATAAATGGATGAAAGGAAGCAAGGGAGGAGGGAGGGAAGAGTGTGAAGAGCACGGCGAGCAGCTCATCAGACCATCCCCCTCTCCTTCCTTCCGTCTCGTCACACGCCCTGTCTTCACCTCACATCCCCGTCTCGTGCCCTCTCCTTGCCTCACATCCCCGTCTCGTGCCCTCTCCTTGCCTCACATCCCCGTCTCGTGCCCTCTCCTTGCCTCACATCCCCTTACCAATCTCCTCCCCTGCAGCCAAATCATGCTTCTGGCAGCCTGCTGGGCGCACTACTTTCTTGAACCCTCTTGACCCCTCTTGGCCACTCCTGAACTCGCTTGAGCCGAAACGCTCTTGCCTCCGTGCCGTCATGGCCTCATCTCATCCCATCTACAGCCTTTAGACCATGCCACCCATATCACCGCATATAGCCCCATACACCCAATATCAACTCATATCACCCCATATCACCCCATGTCACTCCATGTCACTCCATATCACCCCAGATAACCCCATATCACATCATGTCACCCCACATCACCCCTCATCACCCCATGTCACCCCATATCACATTACGTCACCCCATATCACCCCATCCCACCCATGCCCACCCATGCACCTCAGTGTCCTCCGCGCCTGCGACCACGGGGTGCCCCCCATAGCTGCTGTCCAGGCTGTTGGGCGCGCTGCTGCTGCCGTCCTGCCCACTCGCACAGGGGAGAGGGAGTAAGGGGAGAGGAGCGGATAATGAGTGGGGGAGACGGGAGAGCGTGAGAAAGGAGGGAGGGTGTGAGAGGAGAAGGGAGAGTGGGAGAGGAGAAGGGAGTGAGTGGGAGAGGAGAATGGAGTGAGAGGGAGAGGAGAAGGGAGTGGGTGGCAGGGGAGAAGGTCGTGAGTGGGAGTGGGTAGTGGTGGCCAGAGATCTTTATTCAACCAGTGTGCCCTATCGTTGTACCCAATACTTATATCAATGAAGGACCACTGAAGGGAGAGGGGAGGCGCAGCACACCTCAAAGAGGTAGTTGAGCAGGTGGGCGCACCTCAGAGAGGTAGTTGAGCAGGTGGGCGCACCTCAAAGAGGTAGTTGAGCAGGTGGGCGCACCTCAGAGAGGTAGTTGAGGAGGGTGTCGGACTGGAAGAGCGCACCTCAGAGAGGTAGTTGAGGAGGGTGTCGGACTGAAAGAGCGTGGCGAAGGCGGACGGGTGGAAGATGGCGCTGCCCACGAACTCATCACCCACCGCCCGCTCCCGCCCCGCCGTGGGGCTCAGGTCCGGCGTTGCCGAGCCTGCAGGGCGGTACGGGCCGAGGCTGTCGTAGGCAGGGAGGTAGGCGTGCACCTCTGAGGTGGGCACGGGTGTGGCGTCCCTGCTGTCCGCCAGGCCCAGGTGCAGCATCTGCACGCGGGGGATGGGCAGGAGCGCGTCTCGCTGCCTTTTGACAATCCTAGACAACCTCTGACTTGGGCACGGCCTTGCCATGCCCATGGCCATGGCCTCGATGCCATCCGCTAGGCCCAGGCGAGAGTTGGTGGATGTGAAGGAGGGGAGAGGCAGGGACGGGGCCAGTTGGCTCTGGGAAATCCTTAAGAACACACGACAGTGCCATGCGATGCCCTCCCTGGCACATAGATGACACGCCGGAATGGAGTGATGAATGCGGGAAGCTAGTGGGTGAATGGAGAGGGCGCAGTGAAGGTTGGGATGTGACATCCAGTGAGGTGAAGGTTGGGATGTGACATCTAGTGAGGTGAAGGTTGGGATGTGACATCCAGTGAGGTGAAGGCTGGGATGTGACATCCAGTGAGGTGAAGGTTGGGATGTGACATCCAGTGAGGTGAAGGTTGGGATGTGACATCCAGTGAGGTGAAGGTTGCGATGTGACATCCAGTGAGGTGAAGGTTGGGATGTGACATCCAGTGAGGTGAAGGTTGGGATGTGACATCCAGTGAGGTGAAGGTTGGGATGTGACATCCAGTGAGGTGAAGGTTGGGATGTGACATCCAGTGAGGTGAAGGTTGCGATGTGACATCCAGTGAGGTGAAGGTTGGGATGTGACATCCAGTGAGGTGAAATGATCTCTATAGGCAACGTGGGACAGCATTTCACAAAAAACCATATTTAAACGGGTAAATGCTGCGGGTATCTGACGAGGAAGTAATGAGAAAGGCACCTGAAGCAAGAGGAGAGGAATAACTACCTGAAGACGATGGACTAAGCACCTGAAGACGATGGACTAAGCACCTGAAGACGATGGACTAAGCACCTGAAGACGATGGACTAAGCACCTGAAGACGATGGACTAAGCACCTGAAGACGATGGACTAAGCACCTGAAGACGATGGACTAAGCACCTGAAGACGATGGACTAAGCACCTGAAGACGATGGACTAAGCACCTGAACCACAGAGAATTGGTAAAGCGAAACCACAAACCCAAACCAAGGAATCTCATAACCTACAAGAGAATTGACCTGAAGGGAATGTGGGAATGAGGTGAAGGCAAGACGACAATGACCTGAAGCCAGAGCAGGGCGGAGAGGAGGCGCAGCGTGAAGGTGAGGGAGTGGCACGTGAGCTCCAGCAGCACTGCCAGCGCCACCAGCGGGTGCTGCCTCCACGGCGCCGTCAGCTCCTCGCTCCTGGTGCCATGCCGTGCCACGCCGTGCCGTGCCGTGGGGTGGGGTGGGTGGGGTGGGGTGGGGTGGGGTGGGGTGAGGCACGGTGGGGTGGGTGTAAGAACTGAGCATTAGGGTGGGGTGGGTGGTAGAATTGATGCATTAGGTAATGAGCTCAAGGTTCTTGAGTACATTGGACATGAGCAGGGATGGATGGGGTGGGAATTGGGGCCAATCCCTCCCAATGAGATCCCAATGAGATCGGCTGAAATCCCAATGAGATCCCAATGAGATCGGCTGAAATCCCAATGAGATCCCAATGAGATCGGCTGAAATCCCAATGAGATCCCAGTGAGATCGGCTGAAATCCCAATGAGATCCCAATGAGATCCCAATGAGATCGGCTGAAATCCCAATGAGATCCCAATGAGATCGGCTGAAATCCCAATGAGATCCCAATGAGATCGGCTGAAATCCCAATGAGATCCCAATGAGATCGGCTGAAATCCCAATGAGATCGGCTGAAATCCCAATGAGATCGGCTGAAATCCCAATGAGATCGGCTGAAATCCCAATGAGATCGTCTGAAATCTCCAATTGGTGGGTTGAAGATTTCAGTTCATCACATTCGGGTGAGGTTGGGATGTGGGTGTACATCCAACTACAAACTACACTAAACTAGGACATTAAAAGTTCAACTACAAAAGTTAAGATTGAGGGCTAACTCTAGCAGTGGGCTGGGGTGGGGTGCGGTGGAGTTGGTTAGGGTGGGATTTGGCAAAGGAAAAGTAGGGGGAGGCGAGTGAGAGAGGGCATGTCCAGCATGATGAGGCGAGTGAGAGAGGGCATGTCCAGCATGATGAGGCGAGTGAGAGAGGGCATGTCCAGCATGATGAGGCGAGTGAGAGAGGGCATGTCCAGCATGATGAGGCGGGCATGCAGGGTGTGGCGGAGGGGGAGAGAGCGTGGTGGCAGGTGAAGGAAGGAGTAAGGTGCAGAGTGAGTTGAACATGCATGTGAGGCGGTGCAGGTGTTGTGAACGCTGCGGGTCGTGCCAGTGGCAGCGGGTACAGAAACGAGGGCTGGCAGAGAGATGGAACTGGGAGAGAGGACGAGGAGATGTGCGGGTAGGGAGGAGCAGCTGGGCGTAGGGAGGTGGGGCGAGTGAGCAGGAGAGGGCACCAGATGTGGGGGGCGAAGAGGGCACCAGATGTGGGGGGCTAAGTTGGATCTTACGTTTACGGTCTGTTATGTTTTCGTTTATTTACGACGTTTTTTACGTTTACGAACGGTTGCCTGGATTCGGCCTTACGTTTACGGTCACCTGAAAACTTTTTTAGGTCTGCCCGAGGAAAAACATTACCAGAGTACTAGGGAGACTCATTCTGTAGGCATCATGTCAATGTTGAAGAAACAATAATACCCTAAACATAAAATCCTCCTCCTCCTCCTCCTCCTCCTCCTCCTCCTCCTCCTCCTCCTCCTCCTCCTCCTCCTCCTCCTCCTCCTCCTCCTCCTCCTCCTCCTCCTCCTCCTCCTCCTCCTCCTTCTCCTCCTCCCCTTCCCCCTCCCCTTCCTCCTCCTCCCCTCCCCTCCCCCCAGCTCCCCCTCCCTAACACAGCACGGTCATCTCCCTCCCACCTAATTCCTTAATTTGCTATCTTGTTCGACGTCAACCTACCAGCTCGTTCATATCCTATCGTATTCCTTTCCTACTAGTCAACGCTGAATCTGAAACTTTCACGGACTCGAAAGACTTACGCGAAAGTTAACGTTCGTAAACGAAAACGTAAAATTTCGCGAAATTGACGTTTACGAGACCTCGAAAAACGTAAGTGCCCAACTTAGGTGGGGGGCGAAGAGGGCACCAGATGTGGGGGGCGAAGAGGGCACCAGATGTGGGGGGCGAAGAGGGCGAGCCAGAGGGAGTCGAGGAGCAGCATGAGCATGAGCAGTGCGGCGTATGTGCGCCCCAGCGCCTGGTACCCGCTGGCCACGGCCACCAGGCCGAAGAGCGCCACGGCCACGTCCGCCACGATGACGCCCGTGTACGTGGGCCCAACCGTGCCCAGTAGCCCTATGAACGCCTGCCGGGGACGCGCAGTGGCGAGGCGGGCGGAGAGTGAAGGGGTTGGCACGATCAATGGCGTGTAGGTGGGGCCACCGTGGGCCAGCAGGCGTATGATGGCGTGCACGCAGGCGAGGAGGGCAGGGGGCGTCCGGCGCGTACAAGTTCAGTCCCATGACGCGGGTGGACGCGGGGCGGCGAGCGGCGCATGGGTGCCATGTGAGGCCACCCGCCTCTTGCGGAGTAATGAAGGATTCGAAACGCAGCAAGCCGTGTGGTGCCATGTGAGGCCACCCGCCAGTGCCATGTGAGGCCACCCGCCAGTGCCATGTGAGGCCACCCGCCAGTGCATGCGCTCCCACCCACCAGTGCATGCGCTCCCATGCACACGTGCCGGCACATGCATGCATGAGATGCATGGGGTGCATGGTGCATGGGTTGGGGAGGACGCAGGGCGCGACTGGGGGGTGGAGGAACGAAGGAATGACAGAGGAGTGCGGCGTGGTGGAGCGCGGCGAGCAGGTGGAGAGGAGACGGCGAGGGGGAATGTAGAAGCGGCGAGGAGGAGGGATGGGGCGATGGAAAAAGAGAAGGGGGAAGCAGGAGGGGAGGGGGAAAGCGGCGATGGGAGGGGGGAAACGGCGAGAAGAAGCGGGGAAGCGGCGAGGGGGGGGGGGGGCGCAAGCGCAAGAGCAGCAGGCAGCGGGGGCTCGAGCGGCTTGCCATCGTGCCTCCTCGCTCGTGGTGGCAGTAACGTGGAATGGGACCCTCCCTGTAACGGGAGCGGGTTACCAGGTTACCTGCAGGTAGAGCAGCGTGAGCGCGGCGTTCTGCACGTCCTCGTAGCTGTCGAGCCACGACAGGAAGAAGCCCTCCACAAACAGACGCGGCATGCCGCCCCTCCCTCCCCTCCTTCCCACTCCCCCTTTCCGCGGGGCTGCGCGCCAAGAGTCCGCCTATGATTTAATCTCGTGCGCTACCTCGCGCCACACGGGGCATGCCGCCCGCCCCGCGCCCCCCGTCGCTGTTCGCCTCCGCAAGACGCTCTTCGCCTGAATCCGCTGCGACTCCACTCGCGTGCTCTCGCCGCTACGCGGCCTCTCGTCGATATCAGCGTCGCTAATGCTCGCAGCGCGTCGATGCCGCTCTACGGCTGCACGCCTCTAGCTGATCTTCATCGCGCTATGGGCTTCTCGGGAACGCCTACCATGCTTCGCTGGTCGGCCGCGCATCGTAGCGCGTGCGGGTGAATGAAATCCGACTTTCTCGAGAGACCTTCCCTCCCTCCGACTGAATCGAATTCGCGCTAGTTTAAATGATTGTAAAAAATTTAAACCTGTGTCAAGGCGTGTTCAGGGTGCCAGTGGGTTAGTAGTAGAGTGGCACCCAGTTATCAGTTCGGTGTTGATCCGGTTTCAATTCCCGGCTGCACAGCTGTAAATATTTTGCTACGTCTATCTGTTCTCTCCAAACTTCGTTTCCTCGTGAAATCTCGTCTTGGCTTTTCGCTATCGTTATTTCGCTGCAAAATGCCACACACTGGGTCTTTGTTGTTCGTGTCATTCGGAATATCCGGAAACCAGTACATGGGCATGAAGCTGCTGGGTTCCAACTTCGCGGCACCCGATAAAATCCGCTGACCCGGAAGTCTGAACACGCCCTAACCCTAACTTTCGTGTCTTCAGTTCGACGCGCCTTCTGGCGTATACGACTCGCATCACTAGGTAGTTAATCGCAGCTCTTCCGTCATCCCTGTTGCAACCGTTTGTCTGCCCAGCCGTTGCTGAGCAGCGCCGTCACAGCTGCTCTTATCATGGTCGCGGCGGCAGCGGCGACCGCAGCGATGAGCGTGACTGGTGTCGCTGCGCACTCGGCCGCGCAATCGCACACCGTCGCTCGCGTCGCCGCGTTGCGGTTGCCGGCTAGCAGCAGCACGCGCCAAATACGGAGCGACGTTTCCGCGATGGGCGCCGCTCGGTCCGCCTCCGACGCCGTGCGGCGGTGCGGCGAGCCGCGGCTGCTGCCGGCACGACGGGGGAGCATTGGCGCACGCGCTAGTGTTGAACAGCGCCACATGGCAGGTGCATGACGCAGCTGGCAGCATGTGACCTATTGTTCCCTTCCGATATCGCCCCCCTAGAGCAATCCCCAGTGAACTGTTCACAGGGCCAAAAGGGGGTTCTTCATTGGCGCAGCACAGCGGATGCCTTTAGCCGTTCGTGTGAGCCCGCACGCATCACACTTCCGATCCTGCCCGCCCCAATTGCCTCTCCGTTCGACCTCCCGTCACTCCTTCCCCCTTTCCCCTCCACCTCTCCGTCCTCCCATGCGCCCCCTTCACAATGCTGCAATCGCGCGCGCCACCGCCACCCGCGTGGCGCCGCCGCGCTGCCGGCGAGCAGCGCATGCACCTCCCCTTCCTGCCCCACCCTCCACACCTCGCTCCCCCCTCCGTTCCTCCATCCCCTTCCCCGCCTTCCCCTCCGTTCCCCCATCCCCTTCCCTGCCTTTCCCCCGCAGCGGCGTCAGCACAAGCGGCGGACACAGCGGCCTTCTCGCAGGGCGGCTTCGAGCAGCTGCTGCCGGACCTGCAGGCCGCCATCTGTCACCAGGTCAGCTGCCGTGCCGTGCCGTGCCGTGCCGTGACGTGACGTGCCGTGCCGTGCCGTGCCGTGCCGTGCCGACAGGTGTGGAGGTGAGGTAAGGCGGTGACATGTGGTGAGGTGACGTCCTATGTGTCATCCCATAGCCGCTCTGTCTGCCCATCCCATCGTCCCACTCGCCCCTCCATCTCTCGCCCCTCCACGTCACGTCGGCCCTAACCCCCGTCACCTGCTCGCACCTGTGCCGCCACTCTCGCCACCCGCCCTGCCATCCCGCTCTCGTCTCTGCACTCATTGCTCCTTTCCCTCCCCCTGAAACCCCCCTTCCCCCACCGCCGCCACTATGGGCGGCAGTCAGCAGCGCGGGACGGCAGCGACAAGGCGTTGGTGGAGGAGCGGTGGGAGCGCGACCCCGGCAACCCGTGGGAGGGGTACGGCATCACACGTGGGCGGGGTACGGCATCACACGTGGGCGGGGTACGGCATCACACGTGGGCGGGGTACGGCATCACACGTGGGCGGGGTACGGCATCACACGTGGGAGGGGTACGGCATCACACGTGGGCGGGGTACGGCATCACACGTGGGCGGGGTACGGCATCACACGTGGGCGGGGTACGGCATCACACGTGGGAGGGGTACGGCATCACACGTGGGCGGGGTACACGGCATCACACGTGGGCGGGGTACGGCATCACACGTGGGCGGGGTACGGCATCACACGTGGGCGGGGTACGGCATCACACGTGGGCGGGGTACGGCATCACACGTGGGCGGGGTACGGCATCACACGTGGGCGGGGTACGGCATCACACGCATGCTGGAGGGTGCCTACGTGCTCGACAAGGCCGCTGCCAACGTGTCCATCGTTAAGCGAGGGAGGCTGGGCACGACCACTATTTCCCACCCGGACAACTCCTCCTGTCCGTCCATTCCTCCATGCATGCATCGTTTTGTGCCCCTCTCTCCCCTTCTCGCTTCCAACGGTCGTTCCCCGGCACCTCCACCACATACCCCCCTCTCCCCCCACCTCTCCCCTTCCCCCCCTTTCCCCTCCGCCAGGCCATGAATGCGAGGCAGGGGAGGCAGCTGGCAGAGGGGACGGGGTACTTCGCCGGTGCGCTGTCGCTGGTGTTCCACTCCGCGCACCCGCTCATCCCCACCTTCCGCTCCGCCATCCGCCACTTCCAGGTGAGCTGCCATCCGCCACTTCCAGGTGAGCTGCCATCCGCCACTTCCAGGTGAGCTGCCATCCGCCACTTCCAGGTGAGCTGCCATCCGCCACTTCCAGGTGAGCTGCCATCCGCCACTTCCAGGTGAGCTGCCATCCGCCACTTCCAGGTGAGCTGCCATCCGCCACTTCCAGGTGAGCTGCCATCCGCCACTTCCAGGTGAGCTGCCATCCGCCACTTCCAGGTGAGCTGCCATCCGCCACTTCCAGGTGAGCTGCCATCCGCCACTTCCAGGTGAGCTGCCATCCGCCACTTCCAGGTGAGCTGCCATCCGCCACTTCCAGGTGAGCTGCCATCCGCCACTTCCAGGTGAGCTGCCATCCGCCACTTCCAGGTGAGCTGCCATCCGCCACTTCCAGGTGAGCTGCCATCCGCCACTTTCAGGTGAGCTGCCATCCGCCACTTCCAGGTGAGCTGCCATCCGCCACTTCCAGGTGAGCTGCCATCCGCCACTTCCAGGTGAGCTGCCATCCGCCACTTCCAGGTGAGCTGCCATCCGCCACTTCCAGGTGAGCTGCCATCCGCCACTTCCAGGTGAGCTGCCATCCGCCACTTCCAGGTGAGCTGCCATCCGCCACTTCCAGGTGAGCTGCCATCCGCCACTTCCAGGTGAGCTGCCATCCGCCACTTCCAGGTGAGCTGCCATCCGCCACTTCCAGGTGAGCTGCCATCCGCCACTTCCAGGTGAGCTGCCATCCGCCACTTCCAGGTGAGCTGCCATCCGCCACTTCCAGGTGAGCTGCCATCCGCCACTTCCAGGTGAGCTGCCATCCGCCACTTCCAGGTGAGCTGCCATCCGCCACTTCCAGGTGAGCTGCCATCCGCCACTTCCAGGTGAGCTGCCATCCGCCACTTCCAGGTGAGCTGCCATCCGCCACTTCCAGGTGAGCTGCCATCCGCCACTTCCAGGTGAGCTGCCATCCGCCACTTCCAGGTGAGCTGCCATCCGCCACTTCCAGGTGAGCTGCCATCCGCCACTTCCAGGTGAGCTGCCATCCGCCACTTCCAGGTGAGCTGCCATCCGCCACTTCCAGGTGAGCTGCCATCCGCCACTTCCAGGTGAGCTGCCATCCGCCACTTCCAGGTGAGCTGCCATCCGCCACTTCCAGGTGAGCTGCCATCCGCCACTTCCAGGTGAGCTGCCATCCGCCACTTCCAGGTGAGCTGCCATCCGCCACTTCCAGGTGAGCTGCCATCCGCCACTTCCAGGTGAGCTGCCATCCGCCACTTCCAGGTGAGCTGCCATCCGCCACTTCCAGGTGAGCTGCCATCCGCCACTTCCAGGTGAGCTGCCATCCGCCACTTCCAGGTGAGCTGCCATCCGCCACTTCCAGGTGAGCTGCCATCCGCCACTTCCAGGTGAGCTGCCATCCGCCACTTCCAGGTGAGCTGCCATCCGCCACTTCCAGGTGAGCTGCCATCCGCCACTTCCAGGTGAGCTGCCATCCGCCACTTCCAGGTGAGCTGCCATCCGCCACTTCCAGGTGAGCTGCCATCCGCCACTTCCAGGTGAGCTGCCATCCGCCACTTCCAGGTGAGCTGCCATCCGCCACTTCCAGGTGAGCTGCCATCCGCCACTTCCAGGTGAGCTGCCATCCGCCACTTCCAGGTGAGCTGCCATCCGCCACTTCCAGGTGAGCTGCCATCCGCCACTTCCAGGTGAGCTGCCATCCGCCACTTCCAGGTGAGCTGCCATCCGCCACTTCCAGGTGAGCTGCCATCCGCCACTTCCAGGTGAGCTGCCATCCGCCACTTCCAGGTGAGCTGCCATCCGCCACTTCCAGGTGAGCTGCCATCCGCCACTTCCAGGTGAGCTGCCATCCGCCACTTCCAGGTGAGCTGCCATCCGCCACTTCCAGGTGAGCTGCCATCCGCCACTTCCAGGTGAGCTGCCATCCGCCACTTCCAGGTGAGCTGCCATCCGCCACTTCCAGGTGAGCTGCCATCCGCCACTTCCAGGTGAGCTGCCATCCGCCACTTCCAGGTGAGCTGCCATCCGCCACTTCCAGGTGAGCTGCCATCCGCCACTTCCAGGTGAGCTGCCATCCGCCACTTCCAGGTGAGCTGCCATCCGCCACTTCCAGGTGAGCTGCCATCCGCCACTTCCAGGTGAGCTGCCATCCGCCACTTCCAGGTGAGCTGCCATCCGCCACTTCCAGGTGAGCTGCCATCCGCCACTTCCAGGTGAGCTGCCATCCGCCACTTCCAGGTGAGCTGCCATCCGCCACTTCCAGGTGAGCTGCCATCCGCCACTTCCAGGTGAGCTGCCATCCGCCACTTCCAGGTGAGCTGCCATCCGCCACTTCCAGGTGAGCTGCCATCCGCCACTTCCAGGTGAGCTGCCATCCGCCACTTCCAGGTGAGCTGCCATCCGCCACTTCCAGGTGAGCTGCCATCCGCCACTTCCAGGTGAGCTGCCATCCGCCACTTCCAGGTGAGCTGCCATCCGCCACTTCCAGGTGAGCTGCCATCCGCCACTTCCAGGTGAGCTGCCATCCGCCACTTCCAGGTGAGCTGCCATCCGCCACTTCCAGGTGAGCTGCCATCCGCCACTTCCAGGTGAGCTGCCATCCGCCACTTCCAGGTGAGCTGCCATCCGCCACTTCCAGGTGAGCTGCCATCCGCCACTTCCAGGTGAGCTGCCATCCGCCACTTCCAGGTGAGCTGCCATCCGCCACTTCCAGGTGAGCTGCCATCCGCCACTTCCAGGTGAGCTGCCATCCGCCACTTCCAGGTGAGCTGCCATCCGCCACTTCCAGGTGAGCTGCCATCCGCCACTTCCAGGTGAGCTGCCATCCGCCACTTCCAGGTGAGCTGCCATCCGCCACTTCCAGGTGAGCTGCCATCCGCCACTTCCAGGTGAGCTGCCATCCGCCACTTCCAGGTGAGCTGCCATCCGCCACTTCCAGGTGAGCTGCCATCCGCCACTTCCAGGTGAGCTGCCATCCGCCACTTCCAGGTGAGCTGCCATCCGCCACTTCCAGGTGAGCTGCCATCCGCCACTTCCAGGTGAGCTGCCATCCGCCACTTCCAGGTGAGCTGCCATCCGCCACTTCCAGGTGAGCTGCCATCCGCCACTTCCAGGTGAGCTGCCATCCGCCACTTCCAGGTGAGCTGCCATCCGCCACTTCCAGGTGAGCTGCCATCCGCCACTTCCAGGTGAGCTGCCATCCGCCACTTCCAGGTGAGCTGCCATCCGCCACTTCCAGGTGAGCTGCCATCCGCCACTTCCAGGTGAGCTGCCATCCGCCACTTCCAGGTGAGCTGCCATCCGCCACTTCCAGGTGAGCTGCCATCCGCCACTTCCAGGTGAGCTGCCATCCGCCACTTCCAGGTGAGCTGCCATCCGCCACTTCCAGGTGAGCTGCCATCCGCCACTTCCAGGTGAGCTGCCATCCGCCACTTCCAGGTGAGCTGCCATCCGCCACTTCCAGGTGAGCTGCCATCCGCCACTTCCAGGTGAGCTGCCATCCGCCACTTCCAGGTGAGCTGCCATCCGCCACTTCCAGGTGAGCTGCCATCCGCCACTTCCAGGTGAGCTGCCATCCGCCACTTCCAGGTGAGCTGCCATCCGCCACTTCCAGGTGAGCTGCCATCCGCCACTTCCAGGTGAGCTGCCATCCGCCACTTCCAGGTGAGCTGCCATCCGCCACTTCCAGGTGAGCTGCCATCCGCCACTTCCAGGTGAGCTGCCATCCGCCACTTCCAGGTGAGCTGCCATCCGCCACTTCCAGGTGAGCTGCCATCCGCCACTTCCAGGTGAGCTGCCATCCGCCACTTCCAGGTGAGCTGCCATCCGCCACTTCCAGGTGAGCTGCCATCCGCCACTTCCAGGTGAGCTGCCATCCGCCACTTCCAGGTGAGCTGCCATCCGCCACTTCCAGGTGAGCTGCCATCCGCCACTTCCAGGTGAGCTGCCATCCGCCACTTCCAGGTGAGCTGCCATCCGCCACTTCCAGGTGAGCTGCCATCCGCCACTTCCAGGTGAGCTGCCATCCGCCACTTCCAGGTGAGCTGCCATCCGCCACTTCCAGGTGAGCTGCCATCCGCCACTTCCAGGTGAGCTGCCATCCGCCACTTCCAGGTGAGCTGCCATCCGCCACTTCCAGGTGAGCTGCCATCCGCCACTTCCAGGTGAGCTGCCATCCGCCACTTCCAGGTGAGCTGCCATCCGCCACTTCCAGGTGAGCTGCCATCCGCCACTTCCAGGTGAGCTGTACGTTTCCAAACCCGCGAGCAGCGTCTCCCCCGGTTGGAGAGGGAGGAGCGTGAGCGGTTTGAGAGGGCACGACAACAGCAGCAGTAGCAAGAGGATCAGTCTCAGTTGCAGCGTCAAGAGAGGGTAGAGGAAGAGCCACAGCCACAGAAGGAGAGAGTAGAGGAGGAATCACGGCCACGGCAGGGGAGAGCAGAGGAGGGGTCACGACTGCAGCAGCAGGTGCAGTTGCAGCCGCAACAGGAGTGAGTAGAGGAGTCAAGAGTGCAGCAGCAGGTGCAGTTGCAGTCGCAGCACGAGAGAGTAGAGGAGGAGTCACGGCCGCAGCAAGAGAGGGTAGAGCAGGCGTCCCGCGTGTAGCAGCAGGTGCAGTTGCAGACACAATAGGAGAGAGTAGAGGAGGAGTCACGGCCGCAGCAGGAGAGGGTCGCGCAGGAGTCCCGGTCGCAGCAGCACCGTAGCAAGAGAGGGCAGAGGAGGAGCCACAGGAGCAGCAGTAGGGGCAGGTGCCATCGCAGCGGACGCCAGAGGAGGCGGAGAAGCAGCAACTGCGCAACCCGCCCGACCCTACACCTGCACCTTTGGTTCGTGGTCCTCTACCATCCCCTCCTGTTCCCCTTGTCGGGTCCCTTTCCTCGTCCCCGTGGACTTGTCGTTCTCCCCTCAATCGTGCTGTGTCTCTAGAGCCTCGTCGGTCCCGTTACCGTGCGGATGGGCCGTTTCACCTTGTTCTCCGCTCTTGTGTTCCACCTCCTCCTGTTCTTCCATAGCCTCCTGAGTCGTCCCTCACTGTGTTTTGCGGCCCCTTTTCCGACTACCTCTGTGCCTCCCGTCCTGTCGTCTCCTGTGTTTTGTCCTCGTTGGTCACTCACCTGACTGCCCCCCCGTTGTCTGTCTTGGCTCTTGTTACCACTGTCGCTGGCTTTGCCTCTTCCCACCACCTTGACTACGCCGCTCACCTGGTGAGTGGCCCTTCTCGTTCTCCATCCTCTGGGGGTGATCCTGTCTTTCCCCTGGAGTTCCTTTAGGACAGGCAGTTTGAGCTTGGTTTCCTTGAGGCCAATGTTCCTCATCTCTGCGCCATGCTGCTCGCCCCTGAGGGGGATCCAGACGCCCTTGACATCGCAATCCCTCGCACTCATGCTGAGGTGGTCTCTGGACTCTGGGCTTTGGTCTGGATAGTAGAAGAGTAGGCAAATATGGCATCTTACAAGCCCACTAGCACCTACGTCGACGCCATCTCACCACTTGGGACGAACGTCGTGAATGGCATGTGGCTCTACAAGGTGAAGCGACTGCCTTGATCACCACCGGTGTTCAAGGCGCACTATGTGGCGAGAAACTTCTTCTAGACCTTCGCTCCCACTGCGAAGATGACCAGTCTTCGGGTGTTGCTGCATATAGCAGCTCAGCGCGAATACGAGTTGCACCTTCTTAGACTTATCCACAGCGTTTCTACAGGGGAGCCTGCATGAGCAGATCTGGCTGCGTCGTCCATCTGGCTTCACTGGCTCCTCCCCTCGAGTTGCACCCCTTGGACTTCTTCACAGCGTTTCTACAGGGGAGTCTGCACTAGCAGATCTGGCTTCGTTGTCTGTCTGGCTTCACTGGCTCTTTCCATCCTGAGACCCAGTGGTAGTTGCGTCGACCGGTCTACGGCCTGCGCCAGGCTCCCCGTGAGTGGCATGACACACTTTGCACGACTCTTGCAGCGCTTGACTTCTTTCCGTCCTCTGCTCACACGTCGCTGTTCGTCCGTCGTGGGTCGACCCCGTTCTTTGTTCTGGTTTACGTTCACGACCTGGTCTTTGCCACTCCAGACCGACGCGCACTGGCCTCCGTGAAGGAGGAACTGTAGTGGAGACACACTTGCACTGACCTTGGTGAGCTACGACGCTTCCTTGGCTTGCAGTTCACCAGGGACAGGGGAGCTCGCACCATTACGCTGACGCAGTCGCATATGGTCGAGCAGATCCTCACGAGGTTTCGCTTCCCATTCTCCAAGGTACTGCTCACCCCTCTTGCTGTGTATCATGGTCTCACGGCACCCCTTCGGACGAGCCATTTGAGTCCAGCGGTCCATATCCTGAGTTGGTCGGTTGTCTCATGTACCTGATGACCTATACTTGCCCTGACCTAGCTTACCCTCTTAGCGTCCTGGCACGCTTAGTTGCACCTGGGAAACACCAACCTTACCATTGGTACGTGGATAAGATGGTGGCATAGTAACCCATCTTTCTGATCGGCTCTCATCGGCACGCGACGCTAAGTACCCCACTGATCTCACCATCAACCTTATCGAGACTAGGCTCAACAAGATCAAGAACCGCACTCGCTCCATCTCCACTGCTATTGGTGCAGTTTCCGCCACCCCTTTGCGGGGTGTTCTCGTCCCCAGCTCCCTAGTTTTACTACCTCCCTTGTTGCCGCTGAGTCTTCTCCCACCTGGGAGACAGTGGCCATTGTTGCCTCTAGTGGGCATCGGTGTGGCAAGGGAGGCAAGAAGGGTGAGAAGGGTGGCGGAGGTGGCGAAGGTGGGAGGTGGTTGGGGTGCTGGTGTGTTAGGGGGAGCCGACATTGGAGACGGTGCCGAGGCTGCAAGGCAGGCTGGAGGAGGTGCTGGTCCTGTGAGTGTAGCGGGGGCACAGCAATAGCAGCTGCAGCCATAGCAGGTCCGGCAGAGGGCCCCTCAGTAGCAGTGGAGATCTGGTGGTCCTTGGAGCGTCGCCGGTTTGGCGGTCCTGACAGCTGGGGGGCACTCCGCCGCGACACCGGGCCCTGCCAGTACCGGCTCCTTGCTGGCCCGGGTGCTGGCACTGTCTACAGGTGTCTCGACCACTCGGTTGTGCGCTGCTTCCTCTACCACGACTGCTTTGGGCTACAGACGGTTCCCCCACACTGGCCCTCCCAGGTAAGTCATGGTTTCCCTGTTTTTACCCTCGCAGAGGTACCCCGGTACCCCTCCCTACCCTCATCCTCACTCCCTCTCCTCCTCCTGGCCCTGCTCCTTCCGAAGTCCTAAACCCACCACCCCCTCCAACTTTCCCCCGTCTCCCCCCTTCCCCCCAACAGTCGTCCTCCCAATCGCCGCAGCAGCCTTCGGTGGAGTCACATTAGGTGACAGGGGGCACTAGAGGTGCAGACTCTACGGATGCCGGTTTTGGGGTTGCTGATGCTAGAGGTACTGGTCCTGGGGGTGCCGACACTAGAGGCGTTGGTTCTCGGGTGGTGACGCTAGAGGTGCTGGTTCTGGGAGTGCTGCTTCATGGGGTGCTGACTCTGGAGGGTCTGACCAAGTGGGCCCGCGACGTTCGATGAGGTTGCAGTAGCAGCAGCGGGCAGCAGTCGCATAGCAGCAGCCACCTGTGACTGGCCTTCAGCTTCTTGGTCTCCCTTCCCCATCCACAGACCACTCACCATTTCTACCTGTTTACGGTCCCATGTTTCCTCCCCCAGACTTGACTCCGGCTCGTTCTCCTTCCTAGTAAAAGTTGTCTCCTCCTCTATCTCCTTTCCCGTCCCATGTTCCGTGTCCTCTGTTACTGACCTCCACTCCTTGTTCTTCCGTACTCTCTCATTTTGCGTTTGGCCTCCATTTGTCCTCTTGTTGCCTCATGTGTTGTCCTTCACTGTCTCTCCTCCACCTGCTGCCTTGACTATGCCACTCAATTGGTTTCTCCTACTACCCATCCTGAGTCCGGGTGCTCCTGCCCTTGTCTGTGACGTCCTTGAGGACAGGCAGTTCGATCTGGCCTTCCTTGCGGCCGCTGCTCCTCACCTCTGGGCCATGCGGCTAGCTCCTGAGGGGGACCTAAAAATTGTTGACATTTCGACCCTCGAACTCATGCAGAGGCAGTGTCTGGACCCTAGGCCTTCCAGTAGGTAGCAACCATTGATGCAGGTATGGCATTTTGAAGGTCCACAAGTACGTTCGACGACGCAGTTCCCCCTCCTAGCATATGGTTCTAAAACTCTGACACCTGGATCGCTGCCTATCAAGGCGTGCTACGTAGAGAGAGGCAAGAGTCAGCGTGAGGGGGTAGACTTCTTTCAGGCCTTCTCTGTTAAAATATAATTGTTATAGTTTGTATTGTATAGTTTAGGTGGTGCACAACTTTGTTAGTGCTAGGGTTAGGTTTCCTATATCTACCCTTGTACATGCTCATTCAAGTAATTCATTCTCTCGTTCAGTTCTTGACATGGTATCGAGCGTAGTTCGATCCAATGGGCCCACTGCCTAGCGCCCCACCCTAGCCCGTTTGCACCCCGTTGCCCGTAGCGCCCTGTCCTCATGTCGCTCGCAGCGCCCCGTCCTAGTTTCGCCCGTTACGCGCTTGTTTTAGGGTTTCGCCGCTAGATCGCCGAGCGTTGCCCATAGCGCCCTATAGCCCGCGCCTCGTCCCCTACCGTGCCCCATCCCCTAAGGCAGCCCATCACCCCAGAGCCCAGCACGCCCCGTCACCCCGCAGCCCAGCGCGCCCCGCCACCCAACAGCTTAGTGCGTCCTGTCACCGCGGAGCCCAGCGCGCCCTGTCACCCCGCATCCCCCATAGACCCGTCGCCACGTACGCCCCATCACACTGTAGCCCACACGTCCCATTGCCATGCGCACCCCGTCGCCACGCCACCCGTTAGCGTACGTGGATTTCGCCAATTTGCTGAGTCGATGCGAGAATGGAGTGGGGGCCGGCCCGTCTGGCACCACTTTCGAGCATCTGCGCGACGCGGCAATTACAAATGCACCTGTTTGCACCCATCTGCACGCCCTGGTCAATACCATGATGGCGGGAAAATTGCCCCAGCCTGTAGCAGAATTACTCACGTCATCACGACTGGTAGCACTTGCCAAGCCAGAAGGCGGTGCTCGCCCCATAGCAATCGGCGAGTGCCTCACTCGACTAGCAGCAAAGGCTGCTCTAACGGTCATGGGAGAAGCAGCGCGGAGTTTCTTCCTG